ACATATATTTGTATTAGTGTATTGTGGCGTTTACTTAGAATATATAATGTGAGAGAGAATGTATATAACTCTGTGAAGGAATGGTTAATGGAACGGATAGAACGACTGGAAGAGGTGTTTTTCGAGAAGTGAACGGTAGAAGTGAACGATTTAGAGAGGATGAGTTGGCTGCGAGTGGTGTGTCAGGTTGTTATTTCAAAAATTTTTATTTGTGCTCTTTCAACAAATATTAAAAGAAAATGTTTCCTTCATTATTTCTTTTATAGTTGGAGAAATATTATTTTCACCGATTAATCTTATCGCTTGGAATAATCAAACCATTAACTCTTCTTTTACTTAAAGCGTACCATTAGCAACTCGTTTATACTTCCCACTACTGCACACGGGGACATGGGTATCCTCTCAGGCGATGGTATTAGATGATAGTCCGCCACGCTGCAGGCGAGTCGTTTTTGCGCTAAGACAGTTTTGATATTTGAATACAGTTTTCATTTATTCATTACGAAACTTGTACGTTAATATATAACATCATTGTACGTGACTATTTACAATAGTCGTAAATTGTGTTCTGAGAAATTATACTTTCGTATTAATATTTGGATATATGTAGCAAAAGTTAATTACTACGTTGTTGGAAATACTACGTAATAATTTAAAAGAATATTTAAATTAGAATATAATAAGTATATCTTATAATAATCTTTGTGCCACATATACATACTTTTGACATAATATTATGTGTGCTTATTACTATTATTGTGGGAAGTTAATGTTTTCATTTTGGGATTAGTTTCAGATTGTAATAAATATTTATTTAGAATTTATGTACGGCTGTTTATTATCATCTAAACGGGAAAGAAAGAGAGGAGTTTCTTTAGTTTTCCAAAAAAGGAAACGAAGACGAAAAAAAACATGTCTGAGACTCATTCGGTTATTGTTTTCTTCAGTTATTTAGTGCAGAGTAATTGTATAATACAGATTAATTATATCAATATAATGTGGTGCCATAACTTCGTGAACTAGTAGACAAGGGTTCTCAAAGCTCTCAAAGTGTTTTCAATTTGTATTGCCGATAAATATTACGTAGTGAATATACCTAATTATTCACTTGGACATGCAATTTCAAATACCTTGGTTACCTTATTTAAAATCACCTGTCCAAATTTTAATCAATCAGTCGCGTCAGAATTTTCGCTATGTTGCCGCTCTGACCACGTAATTGTACGAGAAGTTGACGGCTAACTCTGCCACTTCTCGCCCACATTTGTACGTGTGCAGGTAGCGCCTTGCTGTATGTAGTTGTAGTAGGTAAACAACTTTCGATCGTTGTGTGGAGTGTCCGGGGTTTGCCACAATTAGTAAAACCATATACCTACATGGGGCCAGTTGACAGCCTTATTGCCGTACAATCAATGTGACCGTCAATGCGATCGAAAAATATCGACAACCGACACTTTTCTCATTCAACTTTATGTTAGTTCTGCATAAAGATTAGTTTGTAAAATCAGTAAGTTTAAGCAGTGTGCCGCACATGTCTGCGGGAATTGTTCCAGAGTTGCGACCACATTAAAACAAAATTTATGAAAGTATTTCAACAATTTCTCAGGTAAGACACTATTTATTTTCAAATTAAAGGTGACATGATTGATTTTATAAATACTTTGTGTCGGATTACAATTCCCAAAACTTTCCACGAATAAAATATGGCTAAGACATAAAATATATAAAGGAGGCATTAATACTGATCCCTGTAGAACTCTATAGCATATCTCTCAAGAATAAAATTCTGCTGTTAATAGCTTTACAGTATCTCGTAGTATAATGGTCGACTTATTAATTGATGTCAAGTAAAGTATCTATCTACTTTAGTAAAGCAGAACCTTAATGAAAAAAACTTAAATCTAATACAAATAAAACAAGCTACAGTATAGAGCCCTGTGGTACGCCTACTTTTGAGCATATCTTCCAGCAAGCAAAACTCTGCTCTTAGGAGCTCTGCAGTCTACAATACAATGAACTCTATCACTGCGCAGATAAGAAGGATCTTCTGATAACTCGTTGATTGCCGATAAAGCGTCCTCTTTTGTGAAAGGTTTTTCATCGTGTTCGCTTACTCTGGATAGCCAGCGTGCTTCGACACATCTGAAAAACATTTAACCTGGTATAACTCACTAGTAATGACATAATTTGTAGAATACAGACTAAATATACATAAAATGTATAAAGAAATATTGTGGGTGTGTGTGTGTGTGTGTATGTCCTTGCCGGTTTCGCCTACAGCGACTGCTATTATTTAGAATTAGAGTTACGGTTGTTCGCTCTTTCATATGCCCTTAGATGGCTACAGTAGCCAATCTTATTGGTAAATGTTCGCAAACCGTGGCGACACGTAAGGACACGTCAACAAAGTAATAAAAGATGGCTGCAGGTGTCTTAGCCTTGAGAGCATCACGTTTCGCGTCCAGGTCTGACAGCCTCTGCTCCTCAAATTTTGTCACCAGAGTTTTCACAAAGTGCCTCTACCCAGAAAGGTAATATGTATAAAAATATTATAATAGATGCATCAGGGGTCCCACTCCTTACTTACCTATAAATAGATTCTCAGATCTGTGGGGGTTCTCTCAGAGGTCTCCGAAGTAACACGTTTATAGGGTTTAAGTTGTGCAGTATATATTTTATGTTAGGTTAGGTTAGGCGTCAATGTTATATGAGAGAATCATCACGCAAACTCATTAGACATTCGTCATCTTTCGTTATCAACCCATGTATACGTCCACTGCTGGACACGGGTCTCCTCTCAGGCGAGTGTCTATGTTTATGTGCAGGTTTCACCACGATGTTTTCCTTCACCGAAAAGCTCATTCTAGAAATTAATTAATTAAAGTATAACAAACAGTGGTTATGGAATAGAGGTATTTCTAAGGAGATATCAACGTTACTACAAAAAAACCAAAATTATCACCATAGTTTAATGTTATAGCCAAATAAAAGAAGATATATATAAGAAAAAAGAGAGATGGAGATAAATTCGACACTCACGCAGGACAAGTTTCAGCGGGTACCAGAAAGGTGATAGGCGCGGCAGTGAAAGTCTTCTGGAGATCAGGGTGGATAGTGTACGTCTTCAGGCGTGATGTGCCGGGATCCCTGTCTGTCAACCTCTTGTTTACATGACGCTCCTGGTGGGAGAAATCAAAGAAAATTGAATGGTTTGTGGTTCCATTATGCCAGAACGTGCATTACTAAATTGTCGCGACAATCAATGAAAACGGATAAACTTTTGAAGGGATTTTTTTTTTATATTATCCAGTGACGGGACGAACAAGTCGTGCGCTTGATGGTAAGCGACACACATGTCCACAACAGTTGCAGTGCTACTCAGAGCTTTAAAACGCAAAGACCTGAGGGGCACTGCCACTACGGCCGTCACTCTGAGACATAAGTAAACAAGTCCCACGTGCCTGTAATTTCACCAGCACCCTTCAAAACCGGAACACAGTAAAGTTGACATTACTGCTTGGCGGCAGAAATAGACGTGTCACACAACATCAGTCGTACGACTTGTTCGTCCCGTTACTTAAAATTATCATGGATCAATAAACTCAAGATGGTTGCTGATCGCGATACAAGTATCGGGTATTTAGTACACCTATTTGTACACCATATTTTTCGTATGTTTGTTTTTCACACAAACCATAACATGGGACCCTGTAAACGGCCTGAAACGTTAATTTGAAAAAAAAAGAAAACATGACATTTATTAAATAGTAAACGACATAAGGCAACACTGCTGAGGACGCAACCGGGACAACGCTAAGATGAGAGAGAGAGAGAGAGAGAGATAAGGCAACTTTAGCTTTTTTTTTATAAACACTTGCTGGTGATACTAGACACTACACGATATTCCCTTTTTTTATTTAAAAGTCTCTTTTCATTTGGAACTTCCTCTAATTCCCAACACAGATATATACGCGATTTACATCTGAGAAATACTTTCATTTCCTAAACAAGTGAAGTATTTCCACAAAAAATAAATACAAAAAGAAACTAAGTATTCAATAGAAATAAAATATTGTAATTATAATTAGAATTCTAGGTGCTTTCGGAAATCCAAAGATTGCCGAGAGATATTTTAAAATTGCTGTACTGTACTCTTACTTTTTTGTGCATGCTTATCCCGCAAACACTCCCCCAGTTCTTGCACCGCTTAATAAGACTAAATCGCATTTTTACACCGCTGAGTTTACTAAATAGCCTAAGAAAAAAATACATAATTTTTTGTAGTCAAAAAGATAACGCCTATATCAGAAACGCCTGTCGTTTCAATTGCCTATTAGGGCATTTTCTGTCCCGTGATTGCTTATGTCATGGTTATTGGCATCCTGTCGGCGAATTCTTTTATTATTTCGCTTCTACACCTCTCAATCGTTAATATGTGTCATACGAAAATGTCTCTAAAGGTATACTTCGTAAATACTGAAGTTTCGTGTGATGTAGATGTGTACCACTTTATTTTCTTTTCCAGTTTGTAAAGATACTAACGTAAAAGTATACAGTTTCTACATATTCCTTGATTTTTTCTGTAATGAGCTTCAATGTAAGATTGCTTTGATGCAGCGAAGGCGACTTGTCTCCAAGCAAATTTTGAAATGGTTCTGGAGAGCACTTCAGCATTCTGAAATAAAATATAACAAATCGTCGCCTTAGTTTCTCAAACTCGTATTTTAACGCACAAAGTACCTGAAAGTGAATGTCAGGAAGGCTGGTTGCTGTAGCGTCTGGCACTATGTTTATATTCAAAAATTGCTACCTATCCGCTCACGCGATGCGCTCCTCCTACCGCAAAATGGCGGCTATTTGGTTTCGCAAATTAGAAAAGGATTCAGTTTAAATAGAAGTTTTTATAAATAAAAATTATTATTCTGCATTGCTAAATAAATACCCTCCATACTACAACAAAAACATCTCAAATAAAATGCAGTAATACACCGCAAATCCTGCACTTAAAAAGCACTAATGAAATTTTTGGTGTACTTCGGTAAATATGATAATATTCCGTTTGAGTGGTTCTAACGTTTACCATGAAATTACTCCTTAAAGTATAGTTTATAAACATTTATATTCAGGGTAAACTTAAAAAACGTTACTTACGGTATGTTTTCAATAAATAAACACCGAAATCACCAGCCCAAACAATAACACACACGATTGTCGTGACGTATTTTTGAAGTTGTTTACTTTTTTAAATCACAGATCCAGGCATTAAAAACTTTATGGTTTGCTAGAGAAGTTACCGAAATAGCAATTAATATTAGTTCTTTTACCTGTTATAACTTCGATATCCGATAAATCGGTATAAAATCATCACCGGCACCTCTAGGTGTGGTATGCGTCGACGGCTGCATGTATCGCGTGAGCGGATATTTGCTACCTTTTCTAAATAATTGCCACCTTTGATATATTCTGAGAAATTAAAAAAATAATAATTGACTAGCCACTCTGATTTCAGGACAGCTGGTGGCCACTTTATTCAGCATGAAGGGAGCAGATTTTCCAGGACTATGTATTACCAATAATTACTAACTATTTTCTACTTTCACGAATTAAAGGTATGAGCTTCTTATCTACATTAGATAAAAAAATATAACCGACTAAAAATTTTACGAAGAAGCACCTGATTAAAATAGAAAAGCAAATGTTTTTAGTGCTTTTTCGTCATAATATAAGGGGCAGGCGTTCAACAATTACTTCGAGGCAAACTAGGCTGGTGAGGTTGCTGACGTATAAAACCGAGAGGGTAGGTAATCCTCACAACGCAATATTAACAAAGAATTTAGTTGTAATTTGTAAAAATTAGTTAAAATTTAACAGCGTGACTGCACAGTGACGGCGCAGTGGCTGTGTTTCTTAGATCTTTGCGAATTAAAGCTCTAAGTGGCAATGCAACTGTTATGTATCTATCAGGAGCACGACTTGTTCGACGGGACTTGATATTATAAAAAAAATAAATAAATAAAGACTTCATCACGATGTTTCCTTTTTCAAACCAGTTTTCATTTATAAATTAGGTACTGAAGGTAAAAAATAAATAATAAAAATATTTTTGTACTGCAAAAGTTTCCAAGTAGTAACAGACCCATAACATTGTAACTGCCAGGGCTGCCGATGATAAATGATGACGTCACGACAAGGTGTCACTCGCATCTGTGCACGAACACCGTCTTGATGCTAATGACCTATGATCAGTTGTCAACGTGTTAAGGGATTAATTTAAAAAATGTATATTATTATAGATATAAGAATGTTGGAAGTGCAACTATTTTTTTCGGGTTTAATCGCGTATATTTGTTTTTTCAATCAAATAAGCTTTCGCTCTCTTTAATTGACTTGAGTTAGTTTATCGAAATTAAAAAAAAAACGCCCTAATTTCAACATGGTTCCTCCATACCACTAGTAAGAAATAATTGTTAAAAAATATTTCGGAAATCATATATGTAGCGTAAATTGAAAATATTCATGTGAAGGTAAGGAGGCTGTTAACTAAAAATAAAGTATTTATTAATAACATTCTCGCTAGAGGTCTGGTTTACTGCATGAGAGGCAAACATTTGTCCAACTACTTTTTTTAATATGCTACCAAATGACGGGACGAACAAGGCGTGCGCCTGGTGGTAAGCGACACGCATGTCCGTAACAGTTGCAGTGCCACTCAAAGCTTTGAATCGCAAAGATCTGAGGGACACTGTCATTGCGCCCGCTACCTTGAGACAAAGTCCTATGTGCTTCTAGTTACTCACATTACTGCTTGTCAAGTCGAAGTCAAGTCGAAGTCAAGTCGAAGTCAAGCCGAAGTCATGCCAAAGTCATACCAAAGTCATGCCAAAGTCATGCCAAAGTCAAACCGAAGTCACGCCGAAGTCAAGTCGAAGTCAAGTCAAAGTCAAATAATCGTTATTTCATAGGTAAGCAAATTACATTTGAAATCGTCATATTGATCAAACTCCTCTGCTCATTCGTAAGGCAGATTACCCTGAGAAGAATGAGCAAGAAACTTTAGGGTTTGCACTATGTAAATATACATTTGAACACATTTATAATTACAATATTATATTTAAACATCTTAGACTGAAAATACCGGAAAGGGCTAAACTGGTCACTACCACGGATTTTTGTCATCCACGTACACAGAAGTTGTATAATAACCTTATTGTAAAGTGTTCGTTTATACCTCACATTAGTTTTAAACCTTACAAATGGCAAATTTTGAATATCAACCATTATAGAAGCGTATACATTACCCCTTAAATGAATTTGAGGCTTTATGGAGGCGACTGTCATGAAAAGCTACTTTATTTTAATTTATTAAGGTGTCAATACTTCCCTGGACGAATTCTGTCACAGAAAGCTCTACTGCTTCTTTATGATTATTTGAGACTTCTTTATTTCAAATGGTCTTTAATAGTTTCAAGTGTTACTAACCAAGTGATCTATAGACATCACATTTATAGGAAAGATAGCTAAGCTGCAGTCGCATAGTGCAAAGTTGGTTACCTAACGCAATTACGCCAGGCAATCGAGATGCAATTACGATAAGCCTGGATTAAGTTGTAATAGATATGTACTTAGGTCTTGATTTGATCATGTCATCTGTTTGCTTACTACTCTTCTGTGGGCTCACGTTAGTAGGTTAGTTCATTGCGTTAAATTCTCGCCTCATCTAACATAAACACGTTAAATAACTCTGCAAAACGACTTGCTCTTGTAAACACTTGGTGATGTGATTCCTGGGATATTTTTTATGCGCGCATTTGATCTCCACTTACTGCCCCTGTGGGCGAACGGTTACTACCTTGGATTGCCACGCAGAGGTCCCAAGTTCGAAACTCGGCCCGGGGGAAATATTTGTAAGGTCTACATTTATTTATCTCGTAAGTGTTGGTGTATTTGTGGTTGTCTATGTGGGTGTCTATGGCACCCGCAACACAGGGTTTCCTTATTGCGGAGGTATTAGTGTGTGCGTTATTTATTTATTTATCTTCAGGAACAATAAGGTCGACGATGGAGCATGCACACACTCGTTTTAAAAAGGCCCAGCTCATAGCGTTCGTGGAATAAGTCTGCAGGCTAGGAATTCCACTCCTTGGCTGTTCGTCATTTACATGTGGAAGCAAAACGCTTCGTGCGAATCTTTGGAACATCCACAACATAGGGGTGGAACCCCAGCCTACGTCTAGTCCCCCGATGATAGAAAGGCGGAATTAAACCATGCAATTCCATCGCACACTCTCTTATATATCCTGTAGAATACTTATTCTGCACTTAATTTCTACTGGATCCAAGTCACCTGATAATGTATTGTTTTTATAATGGAGCTGATATGTTCAAGAATGATTAAAACTCCTAAATAAATAAAGAGTTATAAAAGTCACTTATAAACCTCCTTCTGATCTGGTTATTGATTCATTTCGTACAATAACTTAGAAAGTAAATTCCTGAGTTGGTTTTGCCGAGGATATTTCTTAAATATAGGACTGAATGTAATTATACGAAACGTAAACAAAAACGCAGCGATCGTGAATCTTCTTCGGCTCTTTAATATGTATTTTTTTTTAATAAAAAGATTGATTTAGTGCTTCACATTTCTGCTTTGGTTTTAGTTATTAAAATGGATTGTGTAAAGACCTAAAGTTTAAATAGTGAATACTGCGAGTAAAAAATAACCTGTTTTTTATATAACAAGGTAAGTAAAGTCATTGTGTTTATAAAACAGCTTTACTTACAAAATAACTGAATGAAATGGTGACAAAAAAACTAAATTTCCTATTGTTCAATGTTAAAAAAACAAAGTATAGGAGTCCGGCAGATACTTCCGTCCAAGAATAAGCCTAGTCGTCCAAACAGGAAATCTTGGCACGATGTCCTAAGGCGTAACCCTCGGTTAAGTTTTTACCCTCAAATAATTACGTCAAAGGTAGAATATTTGTTTTTTTCTTTTGTTCTATGCATATTTATTTTATTTAGTGCCATGTACATTTACGTATAATGAATAAATTTCAGTTCTGGCACCTCAGCTTCCTCTCTGCTGTATCTAACATTTTTATACATAAATACGGCTTTCCACGGTCTGTGATTTTGCCGACCACCGGAGAGGTGGAGCTCGTTCCCGCGCTCCAAGGGAAAAAGCTTGTCCGCGGTAACCCACAAGCGTCCGTAGCGGTACATGCATAGCGGTATATACATATAATAACGGTTTCAGGATGCTGTTAAGACTACCGTGACATTGTAGCGCATCCTTCGACTTCAATGGAGTTGATGACTTTTATGATATGACGGTACAAGTTTTAAAAGTATCCAAAAAGTGTTATAAACTCGATGCGCCGATGCTGCGTCATTTCAAACAGGTTTTGGTGAGGTTATGAAGCAACCGGCTCTTCGAGCGACTTGTATTATTTGTGTTTGTGTGGTTCGTTCTAATAAAAGATTTAAGATAATTATTAATACAAAGATCTAACACTAATAAATGTTTCCTCGATTCGGCTGGATTCGAACCAGCGTCTTCAAATACACTGTGGCGGACGCTCTCCCAACAGAGCTACGAAACGAACAAGTGGACTTTACGAATTTTTCTATGTGCTTGGTGCAGATTTTTGTTTTGGCTTTTAATGGCTTTTTTGCCGTAGCAGAAAAACCTAGTTTTTTAAACACAAAAACAGTGGCGACATTCTTGATGATCGATTTATATCATCCCGCGCGCAGCTAGCGCGTCTTAGTAACGGTCTAGACAAGGGCCTAAGGCGAGGAGGCGTGCTGGGCAGTAAATCGCCTTTTAAGTCGGAAGCTATGTCCCGACATTGCCGCAGGATACTGCGCCGCCAATTACGACACTAGGCTTCTGGGAACTGGAGAGACGTGAGTGTGACCAAAGTGGCGATTGGGTAGTGGACTTTAGAGTCAACGGCTTAGCGGTGGCAACCGTTAGTTGCTCAATGTGCAACGGGAACTGAGCATGCCTACAGCTCCTATCTGGAAAATACGAGGACATTAGCTTAGGCATTAGCTTTTTGAGAACCGGATGACGTTGGCGCGGCGATGATGACGCGTGTTTACGGCGCCGTAAACCCGCGTAATTTGCGCTTATAAGCGCCGCAGACGCGCTGTAGTGAATCTTATATACTGAGAATTTTGGTGTAGTTGCTTCATTTCAAAAAGTAACTTAAATTAAAATGTATCATGATATATACGCGCGACGCGTATAAAATTCGCCCCGTGCATAGGCATATAGCTAATACAAAAATTCTCTAATAATTAAAAGATAACACGAAAATAATATTACCAAAGATGTATACTTTTGTAAAACAAATTACGTAAACAATAAACTGAATAAACTTATATTACGTTTCATTTGATAAATATACATCTTTAAAGTTCATTGCCCTAAGGTTGTAAAACTTCGCATTGATTTATTCCCTTTCGCGGCAACATAAATTCAGCCTTATAGTTAGAAGAAGGAATTAATTTATACAACCTACTTTACTATGCGTTAGAGGCTTTGGAGATTTGCCTCTACATCATTGACTCACAATTATATGGACGTCGGGTCCGCGCTAAAAAGTGTCCGAACTTATAGGGCGTTAAAATCGTATACAGAGCGTCATTCACGCTCTAGTCTTCGTTTGTTCGACTGACAGCGAAGCAAGCAAAATTAGACAGTACTGCGATGACATTACAATTCAAATTTCGAATAGGTTGACTTGGGACATTTTTTTCGTGGTTTTTGTATTAGACCCGTCGTCCATTTATTTGTAAGTCAATGCTCTACATGTAATTTGCAAATATAAATTGCTTCTGAGTTCGACACTTCAAAATTCATGAAAAAAAAAATATAATTGATTTTAACACCTACTCTTTTAAATTCGTCATAAATGAATGCGTAACTCACTTGAACATCTCGTCAGTCTGTTTAATGATTTTGTTCAAAAACTGATCTTGTTCAGTAGACTGCTTCCTCAACATATCGGTCTTTTGTGTTTGGTCGTGAAGCTGGTCATTGAGTTTCTTGATTGCTTCCTCACGTTTATTTTCTGATTGTTCGTTCCAGTCGCGGCGATCATCTTAAAAATAAACTTTTATTGTCTGTCTTTAATTTTCTTTGAACTCTTTTAGAGGCAGTATAAAAAATATAGTCCAAAAGTTTTTCTGATATTTACATACATACATATCACCACGCCTGTCTCCCATATACCTCCACCTGCTACACTCTTGACAAACATCCTTCACCTCTTCGACTCCCATCAATCTTTTCATAGATGTTTAATCTTGATACCTTTAGCCCGGCCATTTATAGGAACATCCCCAATCTGATCGAGATATGTATGCCGAAGTCTACCTTATCCCACGCTTCCATCCACATTCGTCCTATAAATTTGTGCCGTTAAGGTTAACGGCCACGTTTATTCTTTCTAAATTATCAAACCATCAAAGCATCCCACTGACTAACCTGGTCACCAAATAATGTTTCATGCCATAACGTTCTTTTAGTACATAGTTCGGCGTTCTATCTTATAAGGGGTCTACAGAGCAAACCCGTCGACCCGGGCGGGATGGTGTCAGCGGCCTTGTTTCTAGAATCATGCCATAGGATTAGATTAGAAATAAGGCCGTCGGCAAAAAGCATCCGGGCGGTGTCTCCGAGTCCGCGGGTTTGGTCTGTAGATCCCCTAAGACTATTTGTTATTTACATCCCGTAAAGTTAACTGGTCATAAGTGGTATTGAGGTGAATGGAAGTCGTATCTTTCAGCATCAGAAATTAAGATTCTCTTTATTTTATTGAGCCCAAGTTAGATAATTTGACATCGAAAATTAATTTAGTAGTAGAGTTATTTGTCCAATGTAATACCATAAATAGCCGTGTATGTCACTTAATTCCTCTTTAATATGAAATACGAGGATTCAATTTCTTCCCTTCCAATATTATTCAAATATTGGCCATGATCTAAAATTGTTTTATTCTGAAGTGTGACAAAATACACGTTAGAAATGATTTTATAAAGTAAAGATTCCTGAAAGATGGCGCTAATCCTAAACAAACAAAATAAAACAATTGCCGGCAGTATCCATAAAAATCTGTGCAATAAGCGCCATCTAGTTGATTTGTTTGTTATCACTGTATTAGGGTTACCTATCAGTAGTCCGAAATGACGTTTTCCAGAAACAACGTTTGCTCGAATTTTCATAACCTCGAAAGTAATTTTGAGAGGAAA